TTAGTACCTAGGATGAATTGGTCGACAACTATTTTCGGTTCTATTTTAGGTTCGATGCCATAAGTCTGCAAATTGTCAATTATAGCTTAGGCTGTAGGAGGCAGAGGGTGTATAATTTTACCAATTTGTATGCTTAACTTGAAAATAATGACGGTCGAAATATTTGTAAGTCCTACGTCGAACTACTTAAGCGCCTTGTATTTAAATTATGGGTTTGAAACTGTCAATAAACATTTAATTTTGAGGACAAATAAATTAAAACAGCAGACAACGCAATTCGAATGTGTAACTATTTACATCACAAATAACCTACTTGCGAGATTTCACCTGCACAAAACACAGCGCATACAAAATCGCGAATGTTACAAAATTAGTGCACCAAAAACATAATTACGTAATTAGTGCATTTCAATGTATTGCCGTATTAATTATCATGCTACGGATGTGCACTTGTAAGATTATTAATATGAGTTTAATCGATGCGTATCAAATTGCGTCTATGTGGGCATTCTATAAATGAATGTTGTGTTTATTCTGTGGCTTGTTATAATCACTCCATCCTTATATTCATCCACGTTTACTTCCATCCTTATATTTATCTTTTGACTGTACATGTGAAATTAGGACGGGAATACATATACCAGTAGTTGGCACACTTGCATGGAAGCTACTTGCACGTGCCAGGTAAAGGCATACAAGTATATAGCACGATAATTTGTTTTGATATATCAACTGGCATGCTAGCTATTGTTACATTTTTATGGCATGTGTATTCCCACCCTTACGTAAAGAAATAATAAAATGCGGTAGTAACTTCTTCTGATTTATTTACATAAACAACGCAACCATATTAAAAAAAAAGTTTCAAACTAGCATGGTATCTACATACAAAAACAAAAAAGCAATATGATAACGTGAAGTGTACAACGAGAGACAATACGGATCAGCTTACACAAGCCAGGTGCAGTGTGTCAAAGATATCGGATATCACAATCACAAGGCGTGAAAGCACTGGACATGGCTCTCGTCATGTTAACCCAACACTACAAGCACGTGCGTCAAATGCAAACTAGCCGGTGAAACGTTCCTGACAAAACGAACACAACGGCCAACACTTTCAATCGCAAACACGTAGTGGAACTGTACTCTTATAAGGGATGCTTGAGATAATATCGTAAGCATCGCAAACTGAATACCATTTTCATATATGGCGAGCTTCTCCCGTATGGCGGGCGACGGGGACGGGTGGCGGGTGGCGCACATCGTGGCCGGACTGAATGCACGTACTCATGGAAGCCGGCGTGTCACGGCCAACTAACAGGATTACCTGTTCCATTGCGCGCTCACTATGAACGACAGATAGGGGCCACGAGACTTAACCGGATTATGATGGTGGAATATAACCACACAAGCAGCGGCCGTAGGGCGGACCTTACGATGCGATTAGTCTTTTGTTACAATAATAAATAATAATCGTATTAAGACTGTTGTGAAATCTTATATCCTTTGGCAGCCTTGATGTTGTTACGTTAATCAGCACTCAATTAAAATGCATGAAGTGTATTTGGACGAGGACATAGCGTTCGTTTTGATTGTGTTTCAACATCTAAGGATGCTTACAATGTTTTGTTTGACGTACTTATTATAAAGGTAAAGGTTATAGAAATTCGCATTGGAAAATAATACTACAAATTATTGAAAGAACAAACAAGCCGTGTATATAAATAATAAATAATTTTCCGTTTTTTCCTATTCATTTATTTAAAAAAAGTCTGAGCTAGAACATTGTGATTAATGAGTCAGTGGTGTATCACAACAAAATACGTCACAGTAATAACGTGCCTACATTGTTATGATTATTGTACGTTATACTGGAGGTGGCTGTTTGTTTACGAAAGGCGATACTGTTTGAAACACGCTACAATGAGGGGATCATGTTCTTGTAATGTTGCTGTAAACCTAACGCTGTTTATGTCCAACGTATAAACAAACAAAACTAAGAAAAGATGTGTACAATAGTACGCTTAAGAGTTATACGGTATTATACACATCTGAACTAATACACAAATATCCGTTTACTATTTTGTATACTCGTTAATATACAGGTTATTTACTATATTTGTCTTTATTTTATCTCTGCTCTTTAATAAAGTTTCTAAATGTACATAACAACATTACGCTGATAAATATTAAGACGTTGAGGCTTTCTGTATTTTACATAGTTTCATCATTATCATCATAATCACTAGCTCACTATACGTTCCCACTGAGGGGATCGGAGCCTCTCCTAATAAAGGGTGACTAGGCTATAGTCAATCACGCTGGCCCACTGCAGATTGGTTGACTTCAAACATATCTTTGGATATCTTCGCCGATACGTGCAAGTTGCATCATGATGGTTTCCTTCACCGTAAGCACGTCGGGTTAATTATGTACATATGAAAATTCGAAAAATCACATTGGTACATGGCGGGATTCGAACCCAAGACTTTTAGATTACAAGTCAAGTGCTTAAACCAGTGAGCCCCTGACGCTTTTTACATAGTTTACACCAATTAAAATAGTAACCTTGAGGTAGGCTTACTAATTTGTTTGTGAGTTTAGTATTAAGTAAATCTTTCAAACAAAAACAATAGGTCGTTCGCGCCCCTTATTTCAAAGGTTTCGTCGGTTCATAGGTTTGTTTATTATTCAACTAAATCCATCATGAGATTTCTTGCTAACTAATTACTTGTTTATACATTATCTCGATGTATATTTCAACAGTTCATTTCAAGGGAATGAAACCGCAGAAGATAAACGATTGTTACCTTGACCTATTAAATCCGAAATGTTTAAGCCGGGTACGAACCGTGTAATATTTTGCAGCTCTTTTTCACCGAGCTATATGCGCGATTTAGGTTATGCACGTGTGCCTTTTTAGTTTTACAGAGGGCCACAGTATAGCTCTTTGTGTTTTGATATAAAAATCAGACAAAAGTCTTATTGCGGATTGCTAGAACTCCATCTCTTCAACAATAAACAGTCGAATATCGTGATGGTATGATGTTCCCTCTCGTGTTAATTAGCAACATTGAATTATCACCAATTAATTGATTCAGTTATCGATTTTATTAACGTGTAGGCACGTGGACTGAAATCTGGTTAGTCATCTTTGAGTGTCTTTTTTTTATTTGTGGTATCCAAATTTGCTAAGGTATTAAGTAGATTTAGATGTACTTCTGTCCTTGCCAAATGTTGCTAAGTGTGGTAAATTTAAAAATATAGACAAACACTTAGTTATCTCTTTGTCTATAAATTCATCTCTTGGATTGAAGAAAGATGATGTATAATGGATTTTTAATTAACACGATTACGGTCTATTTCTTAGTTCAATGCATTTTGATAGCAAGAATCTATTCTTATTTTTTTCGGCATATTACCACTACCTTTGATCTAAGTTCGTTTAATATAATGTTATAAACGTGTCGGTCATTAAACTGCACGGGAAGTTCACATAAAATGATCGCTCGTAAATATGATGACATCACTCCAGACATCTTATCTTAATTAAAAAGGTATTGTGGTGACTGCGCGTGTGAGGAATGTTCGAAGGTTGAGTTACGAAATACGCATATCTTGCCTTTATGAACCGTTAATATTGCAACTCAGTGCTTCCTTTTATCCTGAAGAATATTTTATCTTCAACGCTTACTACTGCAGAGAACCCTTTCATTTCTTGATTTCTTTAAGACTAAATTGTAGTAAGTCCTTCATCCATCTAATAACACAAATTATTTGTTTTGATTTTAATTAATCAACGCCTTTAAATTGTACATTTGCTATTCATATCCATTTATTAACAGATCATAACTACAGAATCAGTAGTAATTTTGTAAACATTTCAAGCTGATCGCATATTCAAAAATTTCTTCTAAGAAATTTGTATGGTTAAGAGACGAACACGCAAAAACCTTTGGGTTAGATACCTATGTAAGATTTTTATTGTTTTATTTTTCGTCTGTTAAGATCTACCTGGTAACTACATTTTGGCAGATATGCTAAGATCAGTTTTTGACGCATTTTCCTTATAAAACTGTTTTCAATTGTGGTTTCAATTTTTCAGAATAAGATTAACAGATTAATGCATGTCCTCGACATCACACACAACCTGGTAAACCAAACCCAATGAAAAATATTTACGTTTCGTCAATAAATTCTGTACAGACCTGGCTGAATAGAGCAAAATTACAATATCGTTCAGTATCAGTGCATTGTTTAAAAAAAATGTTACATTAGTGGTACTATAACATTACGTATCTAATATACTGAATATTTAAACCGGAAGTTACGTAAAGATATGTGACAGTAAAACTATGTCATGCCGTGAATGCGTTTTATAAACAAAAAGGGATATGGTATTCGTGTCAATTACAGTATACAAGGTACATTAAGTTATGTAAATTGAAACGATGGTATGAATATTTTGTTAAAATTTTGCATGGTGTACTATTTAGATTATATTGGATTTTACTATGAATGAAATGTTCATTGTAATAATTAAACTTAGTAAGTTATTGTGTTCACAATTTATATTAAAAATAGCGCAGTTTAAATTGATGAATAGCATTTGATAATTTTATAGGCTTGTGTATTTTTGGGTTCATTTGTAACAATATGTTAATTTGTATAGAATTATAATATCTGTGGTTTATGGTAGTTCAAAATATACTTATATTGCATTACGACACATGTACGCGACGATTAAAAAAATAACAATTCAATCTTACTTTTATATGAGAATGGCCGAAAATAATTAAATGACTACTACATTTAGTAAAATGAAAATATACCTACATAATGTTAGATTAAGTTTAGATGCTTACGTGCTATATACATTATTGTTATAAATGAAAACAATAACTTTAAAACCCTTACTTCAAAGGACGATTTCAAACACTCAAAAAAATCGATTATTTAGTGACAATATTTACGAAAAAAAAGCATAATATTGTACATACCTAATTTGGGAGAAATTCCCGCCTTTTTCCTTGTCTAAGATGAAATGAAAAATCACTTCTATTTATAATTAAGCACGTAGAATTAATCAAACGATATGTATAATTAAAATTTTGTAAATAAAAACACTGTTATTTACGAAGCAAGTGCGTATCCACAAGAACAGAACACAACCGCGACCTTTCGTACCAGTCTGCTGATTTGATTGATAAACAAACTTCCGATCTCAGCAGCGCGCGCATTTGAGTGTTGTCCACTACAAAAATTTCAACCTCATAGGATTTTCATTTTATTGTTAAGGAAAATTATAACACAGTGCTATTAAACCAAAATAAATATTATTCAATAAAACCTAGTTTTGAGTTTAATTTCACTTTAATTAAACCGCACATTTAGGCAATCCCTTCAACTTGAATAAACTCAAAAACATATTCATATTAAAACCAATACTTTTTTTCATTCAAAAGCTTTACAATTATTTTAATAGGCTATATAACGAAAAACATTTTTAATTATTGGGAGACTTGATTATATATAATGAAAGGATGTGGATAACTTTTCATTATATATTTTAACCAAAGTTTAAATTTAGCTTCTAGCAACTTTGCAATAAAAAACCATTAACTGACTTTGACACTTTAACGTCGACATTTGACGTTTAATGTACGTTGACGTGATCGCCAGGGTTCCGAATATTTATAAAGAAAATTTAAAAAATACGTAAATCTCTTTAAATATCACTTTAAAAAATGGGTTACAAATTCCTCAAACTTGCAACTTCATCAGTAAAGGTATGTCAGAATCATTTTTATTATCTCGTTAAACATTTTTTTAGTGAGCCAAATTGTTATGCAACGACTTGGTCTCCTAAATTTTTTAAAGAATCAAACTAGAAACTGCTTTGCTTAAGGTTTTTCAATAATTTTTCTTTAGTTTTTTGGTTCATTTGTTATTTACATAAATGATCCCGAAATCGACCTTCAACATGTGACCGCCTGTCAAACTCGTATATGTTTCGTTATTCCATAAGAAGTATTTAAAACTGTTTTGTATCCCAGCCCGAAAATAAATCTTATCTTATTATAAATTTTGTAACAAGAGATTATAAACACTAATGTTAATACATTTTAGGGTGGAAATTTACGAATCGCTACAAGAAACTATGCAACCAGTCATGATGCTGACCTGGTTGTAATTGGTTCGGGCCCTGGCGGTTATGTTGCTGCTATCAAAGCTGCCCAATTGGGTATGAAGGTAAAGATTTATTCCCTACAATTTTTACAATGTTAATAAGATTTATATGATATAAAAAACTATTTTCATCATAAACTATGAGTGAAGGTTATGGTAATATTGAAACATTTTTTTCAGACAATTTCTGTAGAGAAAGACCCAACTCTAGGTGGAACATGCCTAAATGTTGGTTGCATTCCATCAAAAGCTCTCCTGCACAACTCACACTTGTACCACATGGCCAAACATGACTTCAAACACCGTGGTATTGAAGTTGGAAATGTTTCCTTCAATTTCGATGCAATGATGAAATACAAAACTAATTCAGTGAAAGCGCTGACTGGAGGTATTGCTATGCTTTTCCAAAAGAACAAGGTAAGTGTTTATTTATGCTTATAATTGATCCTTGCATATATAATTTTGAAATGCTAAAAGTACATTACTATTTAATAATTTCAAATTATTTTCAATTAAATTAAATTCACATCCTTATGTCATCTACCGCTGATACTATGGCAAATATTTTGACTTTAAACCATATTGGACAATAATTATAATAATGTGCAAAACAACCCTCAAAAAAAGAGATTACCACTACACTATTTAGAAAATCAAATGTCACATTGCTATCAACTTGGACTATAATAAAAGTCAATACAACAACCATATCCATTGTGTATTCTGCAATATTGATGTATTTTTAGTACACATTTACTGCAGCCGACAACACTTATTAAATCCAAAGATCAGTTTAAGTCTGCAGCCATACAAATGTTAATTTTTCTATCTATTGTATCGGTGTTATTTAGGATCAAAGAATATAGGTATACATTCATAAACACTGATATAGGCACTAACATAATGAGTTAATAATAATGTAGCTATATTTTCTCATTTTAGGTAAAACTAGTTAGAGGTCTGGGAACAATTGTTGCACCCAACAAAGTTGAGGTGAAGGGAGAAAAAGGTGTTGAGACTATTAACACTAAAAACATTCTTATCGCTACTGGCTCTGAAGTTACACCATTCCCTGGAGTCACTGTAAGTTTACCTTTTTGTAATATTTACCATTTTTTTTCTACACATTTTATTAAGAACCCTATAACAATATCTTGAAATTGTGGATAATGAGAGAGAAGTCCCAAACACCTATTTGTATAAGGAAAATGGTGGCATAGAGAATGTAAGACACATTGCATTATGACTAGGAGAGAAATGTGTCCTACAAAGTTAAGTTTAAGGTTCTGGTATGTTCTTTAGTGTTTCTGGAACCCTAGGAAGCACCTAAGGCCACCAAGGGGTTTTAGTAGGACAAATCTCACTGGTCTTTTCCATAAAAGGAAAAATCTTTGGAAGATACAAAAAGGCATCTAAAAACATATCTTTCTGCATTTATATTTATCATAATCTCTTTGGTTCATGTTCTTTCCTTCTTGTAACATCCAAGTCTAGAATAAAGTGCAATGAAAAGACAATTCTTATTGTTTTTTCTTAGTATAAAAGAAAAAAATGTACAAATGTAATACAGCTGAATTATTGAAATTTAATGTAAATATGTTTTAATTTATTGTTTACATAAATCAGTGTTTCAATGCAGCAATGTTTGCATTAACAATGCATATTTTACCTGCAGAAATGCTAAAAAAATTTGATTACAATGAATATGTATGAATATTACTAATACAATAGATTTATATAAGTAATTTAATATATTAATTTATTGTTATTATTTGATGATACATAAGAAAATAATGTTGGAAAATTGAAATTTTTGTTTGCAGACTGTGATTTTACTAATTTTACAAATGTGAAAGTATGGATGGATGTTAGTTTACCTGTGTGGCATAGATATAGAGCATAGTCTGGAAGGACACATAGTCTACATACTCTTCGTTTATTTAACTTCATGCAGGCCGCAAAATCTGGAATACTTTTATGAAAATTATATAATTTTTTTCCTATATTTTTTAAATATATTTAAGTCTTCTACTAGTTTTTCGAGTTCATTTTTTATCTAATTTAAATCAAAATTTGTAATTTTTTTTTTACTTTTTCAGTTTGACGAGAAACAAATTATAACATCTACAGGAGCGCTCTCCCTTCCATCCGTACCTAAGAAGATGTTGGTAATTGGTGCGGGAGTGATTGGTCTAGAGCTGGGCTCCGTGTACCAGAGACTCGGAGCTGATGTCACCGCAATAGAGTTCCTTGACACTATCGGAGGTAAATAACTGTTGTATTCAAAAGTATTAAATTTTGCTTTAAAAATCACATTATTCTTTGATTGGTTCAGTGTTTTTATACTCAAAAAATATAAATGGTATTAAAAAAAATTATAATGTAGTCATAATACATGTTGGAAGCTACATAATATGTATTTACCAATCTTACTAATATTATAAAGGGGAAAGTTTAGATGGTCTGGATCTGGATCTGGTTTTTAGAGTTTGTAGCCTAAATGGCTGAACGGATTTTGACGAAATTTGGTATAGATGTAGAGGATAATCTGGAAGAACACATAGGCTATTCACTTTTGTTTTTTTTTAATGTCACGCGGACGGAGACGCGGGCGAAAACTAGTATCTTATATTGTTTAAACATATCTAAGATTCGTGTTTATTATTTTTAAATTATTCATATCTGCAATTCAAATGATGTCTTATCAAGATAAAATATTGTAAATCTGCGAAACTTCTTACATATCTTGATGTATCAGTAGACAAACAAAATCGCACCATATCTTTACTGCAAAAAATAGCAACATGACTCAAGCTCATAGCCCAGAAGGGTAGGCAGAGACCATCAACCACCATTTAGCTCAATCCTGACACATCTCTCTTATTAAATGAAAGTAATAAATAAAATAAAAGCATTATGTTGATAAACTATTAGTAGATGGAGACAAAAAAAATAATTATTTCATATCTTATACTAATATGATAAATGTGACATTGGATTTACGGATGGGTGGATGTTTTTTACTACATATCTTCAAAACTGCTTAACGGATATCAACATAATATGTCATAATAAACCTAGTCTGGAAGAACACATAGACAGTTTTTTCATCTGCATTACAAAACCTGGTTCTAACATATTTTTAGAAATTAACATGTAACAAATCCATATAAAACAAACATGAGTATAATTGACGTTATTCCAGGTGTGGGTATTGATGGAGAAGTATCAAAAACTTTACAGAAAATCCTTGTGAAGGAAGGCATGAAGTTCAAACTCGGTACTAAAGTGATGGGAGTGAAGAAGGAGGGCAGTGTTGTGAAGGTCGAAGTCGAAGCGGCCAAGGGCGGGAAAAAGGAAACGGTAATACTTTGATTTTAACACTAAGGGATATTTAAATGATCATTAAATAACAATACTATTAATTAATGTTGCAACAAAGATTTGGGGTTAAGGTTGGATGTTATCAAATTATCTTAGTTGACACAAACAAATATTAAATTGAGGTCACCCTATTTTAAACGGACGTAAATCTTATTTTAATAGGCACTTTGACTCTGTACTAATGTAATTAGAAAATATTTGTATTTTTGTATACATTAAAATGACTCAAAAATTACTGTGCTGATTCCGAAAATTTTTTCACACCATTGTAAAGCGGATTATTCCCAACCGTCACCCCGCTCTGTCCCCACGTGGGGATAGATAAGAATAAAAAGTTTCATCCGTCCCAAGTTTTGCGACGAGGGGACGGTTGGAACTTATTGGTAACTGGGACTATAAGGTGAGACGGATGAAACTTTTATTTGGCGACAGAGCGTGATGACTGTTGGGATCCTAAAAAGCTACGTTATCAGCGAGTAACATAGGCTGTTTTTTAATTATTTTTTTTAATGTCACGTGGACGAATACGCGAACGACAGTATTTAATGAATTCCTATGTTTTTCAGTTGGATTGCGACGTGGTGCTGATCTCGATAGGTCGACGGCCCTTCACCGCCGGCCTCGGCCTGGACAAGGTGGGCATCGCGCTCGACGACCGCGGCCGCGTGCCCGTCAACAACAAGTTCCAGACCACCATCCCCGGGTAACTGTCCCTACCCTGCCACTACTCTGCCTCGCACGCTAACAGTACACAGAGGAAAATCTTTCTTAACTTGTTTCACAGACAAATTTTACTTTTTACTAATATTATAAATGCAAAATTTGCGATGGATGGATGTTTGTTTACCGCCTAAAAGCCGAAATTTGGAATAGATGTAGTTTGGCAAAGAGAACACATATGCTAAATTTTTTTTGTAATTCTAAGAATACGAAGACGCTGACAAAAACTAGTTTGATGTATTTAGTCGTTTACTGATTTTGTTTTTTGTAGAATTTACGCAATCGGCGACTGCATCCACGGGCCCATGCTCGCTCACAAAGCTGAGGACGAAGGCATCGTCTGTGTTGAAGGTATTAAGGTAAGAATTAAAAAGAGCATTCATGTAAAAAACGTAGAACCTATGCTTTTTTATGTTAAGCTAGCGCAAGCGCATTTTCTTCAGGTGGCATTGTGTTCTTGACCAAAGAAAGTGATGATGTTATGCGCTAGGTTAATAAGTAGCTGTTTCCTCTTCTTTTTAAGGCCCTATGTCATGTGGCGGTTAAATAATGATTTTTATAAAGTAGTATTAATATTAAATATGTGTAGGGCATGCCGGTGCACTTCAACTACGACGCTATCCCCTCAGTGATCTACACGTCGCCTGAGGTCGGATGGGTCGGCAAATCCGAGGAAGATCTTAAGAAAGAGGTAAATATTTTAATATATGTAGTATTTTATATTTTCCTTTTTTTATTTAACGAAAGAAGGAATGACGAGAAGACAAATGAGGATAAGATAAGAAAATAAGTATGTGTTTGCTTTAACTGTATAATTTTTTTAAACGTAAACAAAATAGGTATCACAACCTTAATAGGTCCAGATGGTGATTGGGAATTTAAACTCCTACAAAATAATATTTAAATACTATTACGATACATAATTTTACTTCTTACTAACATTATAAATGTGAAAATTAGGGTGGATGGATGTTTGTTAGATTTGTAGCCTAAAAAGCTACGCTGTCAGTGAGTAACATAGTCTATATATTGTTATTTTTTTAATTTAACTTGGATGAAGTCGCGAGGTACAGCTAATTTTTAATATTGTGTATATTGGCAGGGTCGTGCGTACAAGGTGGGCAAGTTCCCGTTCCTGGCGAACTCGCGCGCGAAGACCAACGGCGAGCCCGAAGGCTTCGTCAAAGTGCTCGCCGACAAGGCCACGGACGTCATACTCGGCACACACATCATCGGACCGGTATGCACCTCCCATCTACTGTATATAATAAAACACTATTTAGTGACCAAAAAAAAATATTAACAAAACATTCATGCATCAACATATATATCATATATATCATGATTTTTTTGTAAAAAAAAAAAAATTGTTTTTAAAAAATTTTTATGGAAATTAAAAAAAAATGTTGGTCAAAAGGAAAAGGCTCAGCTGATGCGGTCTCCAGCTTGCCACTGAAGGCCGCGGTTTTCAGCCTCTATAAGGATTTATTTTAAAACTCTTATCGACTGTTAAATTAACATATTTGTCTCTATTTATCTCTATAAGTGTACAAATCCGTATATAGCTTGGTTGGCAACCAAGTTGGCAACTTTAGTACCAAGTCTTGTCCTTGTATTGGCATCTGATAGAACATTTACAAATTCATAAATAGACGAGCTATTCCTATGCGGTTTAATCTGCATTAAATTTTTATTTTATTATTTACATTTGTCAAATACTTAGGGTGAGTTGCACCATATCGCCGGTTACGGTTAAAGTTAAAATTATCTGTAACGGTAATATTTGGAATAACCTTAAAATTTACTAAGGGTGAGTTACATTAACTAACTATAAACCTTAACCAGCACATTCCCGATGGTTACGTCTGCGGATGTTCATGATATTCGCTACACCAGCTTTACGCTGGTCAAAATGACGTCATATTTGACACTAATCATAACCGCCCGATTTTGGGCGGTTATAGTTAGCGTTACGGTTAGTGTCAGTTCGGTAGTGTCAACTGTCACAAGCTCTTATCTTCAAAAGTACAAATAATGGAAAAAGTAATGGAAAAAGAAAATCTCTACTATAATCCTATACGTAATCCAGAAGAATAAAGTCTTGCGTGCTCGGAAATAATGGATTTCCAAGATGGAACTCGAAATTTGGCCAAACATTCAGTTTGGACAAATTTCGAGTGTCTAAGGCCATAGCAACAGCGCTTGTCCCTTTTCTCTTATTTAAAAAAAGGTCCTCCATAAAAGGACAATTTATAATATGCATTGACAGGACAATTTATAATATGGAAAATAAATAAGATGCATTTATATTTGTATAATTTTATTGCTTCATTTTTGGCGCTACATATTTGAGTAGTAAAGTAAATACAGTTTCAATAATGGCCAAAACTAGTTTATTTTCACAAGAGTGCCATTTTCTCCATCTCCGTGGGCAAAAAGTTTATGTCACTATAAAATACCATGCGTATGAATACATAAATGTAATCGGCGAAACATGAATTTCCAAACATTTTAATTTACGTAAATGTCATTCTTGACACTTTAGTGACATTCAGGTTTAAATGTTTCCATTGTAAAAACGAAAAATACATAAAACCTCTGTGAGAATATGTTTTTGCACTTGTAACCCTATTATAACTTTTACGATAACCGGCGATTTGATGCAACTCACCCTTAATTGCAAATGTCAACATTACCGTTACCATAATAACCTTACTTCTTTAATGTTGGCAGCTTGTAGACTAGTTTTTCCCAATTAATTTACCCCCTAAGTTTAATAGCGTGAAAATATACAGCCTAAAGCGTGTCGTAAGTATAGGACTTTTTATTAAATAAAGTATTATTCAAAAACATACTGTGATTGCTGACATCCCACGCCATTAGTATAGATATAGAGTGTTATGTTGCGTGCGCAGGGCGGCGGCGAGCTGATCAACGAGGCGGTGCTGGCGCAGGAGTACGGCGCCGCGGCGGAGGACGTCGCCCGCGTCTGCCACGCACATCCCGTATGTATTGCTTTATCTAATTTGTTTAACCCTTAAATGCATGATTTTTTTCTTTTTTATATACCATAAATTGAAACAGGTAGTAAATAAAATATAGATTAAGGAAAAATAAAGAAAAAAGAAGTGATTTTTCAAAATAGTCTATTGTGTAAAGAAGACAAGACTGATGTATACCATAAATACATTATGCATTTGAGGGTTAATTTAGTAAATTTTCCTAGTGATTTTTATTTATGTTATTTTTCTATTTTTACGCGAACGAAGTCGCGAGTAACAGCTAGTCATATAGTATAGGAGATATCAACACCTATAGAAAATGTTTATATTAATATATTTTTTCATAATTGCAGACATGTGCGGAGGCGCTCCGTGAAGCAAACTTGGCCGCGTACTTCGGCAAACCAATCAACTTCTAAAGTGAGGTCATGTGATATTACCGCGATGTCATAAGCTGGTCATAGTGCATGTGAGGGCAGTTAGGAATCTTGTCTGAATCTGATGTGAATTAAATTTTAATTTATTTAGTTACCGTGTTATACGCCACTTTATTTTGTCCATTATTTATAAACAATGTGAATTCCACTTAATTTATATTTAGGATGACCGGTGTTTGAGAATTTCGCCATACAACTACAAATCGTCGTGCAGTTTACTGCATTGTATATTGTATTTAATTTCTGTTGTACATAAGTTATAAAAAAAATTAAAGCTAAAACGATTTTTATTTAATCCTTCATTAACTGAATTGCCTACACTTAAAAACAAACGTTAGGTTATAACATAACCAATATATATAAATCCTAGGTGCTCCGATAGAGAACATGCATTTTTTTGTTAAACGCGGCAAGAGTATGCCAGTTTTGTAACGTCGTCAAACAAGGTATTTGATTGGTTCTCAAGGTTTCGTAAGTCAAAATATGATTAAATTCACCCATAACTTGCTTCGACCAATAGCGTTGCATTTTAGAAATAACTAGGGATTTTTAAAGACCACACTTTTTAATGATTTTTCGCTACTAAATCGTATATTTAAAAAAAATCTTTGCAAATATATTTTTTATTTTGCGACATGTTGCATATAGCTTTCGTAACAAAGATTACTGTTTGTAAAGGGAGTTAACTCCATATGGAATTCGATATAAGGTATTTTTTATTATTGTTGTATTTAAATCATTGTTTTCTTGCTATAATACAACACTAATTAGAATTCAGTAGAAAAATTAGAGCAAACACAATAGTATTGGTGTTTTGTATATGGAAATTTACACTTACCAAAACTTGAAAAAGAAGCGCAATATTTATTTTAAAAGTTTATTAAGTTAAATTAACACAATTCCAATTACATAAACTTCGATACACGTTAAGCATTGTTAGCTGCAAACAAATCACAGATTAAATATTTTGATCTACAGAGTAAATAAGCTTTATATAAGAGTATACAAACATTATGTAGGAGATAAAGTAAATTCGGGTTATTACATAACAAAATAATCTAAATCTATGACTAGAACAAAACTAACATGTTAACAAAGAATAAAGAAAATTTCAAAATAGCAACCAGTATTACTAACCATAAATAATACATTTTTTCTAATAGAAAATCGGCATAAAAATTAACAAGAGAGAAAATTGTAAAATGTGTTAACATTAAAGTTATATGAACTTTCAAATTAAAAAAAACAGTTAATAAATTTATAACTATTGGCAAGAGAACCTAAATAAATCTATGTTATCATATTATATTACTACATCATTCAGAGTGGCGGAGTATTAAGTTTTATCCTAAAGTACACTTAAGTTACTCGTACATATAAAAATGCACAATATTGTCACTAGATAACAAACAAAAATTATACAATGTGCAGAAAAGTATATAAAACCTTAGAGAGCTTCAGCTTTATAAAATCAAAAATTAATTCCATATTTTTCCACAGTATGGCATTTTCTATATTTCTAGTCGGGCTATAACTAGCACAGTTACTAAACAAGAAGTATTGTTGCGTTTTACACTAACGTCGAATTGCAATAAATTCCATTATTCCTGTACAAAAATTGCACTTTGTTGCTAAGAGAAAAAATTGCACTTAAATATATTTGAATACCGAATACATTGTCTTAAAACTAATATGACTGTAAGGTTTCACTGCTAATGTTTAATACTTTTAATAAAACAGAGACAAAACATTAGAACAGTTGTCGAGACAGTGGAAATCCACGCTAAGAAGTCAATTCCAATACATTTAATTCTATTCTATCTATTCTATTCTATCTACTAAAACCCGCCCTGTATTCAATATCTTAATTTCTACATAGACATTGTTGAAGGTTAAATATAATGAAGATTAGTACTAGACATTTTATAAATTTAAGAGTAATTATAAACAATATTCGCTTTACAAGTGAAGTTATCACTACAAGAGAGCGTGCACAACTTGACTAAACTATCGCATAATTGTTTCGTCTTGCTTTAATTCTTTTGAGCTTATATGGAGGTGGCAAACTACTCGATTTTTAGTTATGCAACTAAACAGTTAGTGCGATAGATTAGTCAAAGGTGTGCGCGCGCTTGAAGGGCCCCTGCACACTATAGAATGAATCGGCCGGAATATATCTGGCCAGTCAAACACACATTTCTGGCCAGTTGAAAGGCTCTACAATGATTGTCAATACTGACAGAAAATAAATAAAAAGCTAGGAATAGAAATTGAGATAAAGGAAAAAATGACAAGAGGTATAGTACGAGAAAAATGTCAAAATCTTTGACATTGAAAGAAGCGCCGATGAAAAAAACTTCCGTTTTCTCACTATTGATTGTTGATATTGATGTCTAATGATAGACTGGCCAGTGGCACCACTTCAAGCTTCCAGTTTCTTTATGTCTTTTGTACATTTTTCCCAACGAGTCAGTTAAATTTGTCGGTCTGTATACATTGACTTTCATATTTCACCAAAATAAATAGGCAGTTCAGTCAAGGGATTGGACTGTCTTGTTTATTGCTTTGTTAATAATCAATAATTCGTTTTTTTACTTCATCCCCAAGAATCGAGTACTTCACTGCACATATTCAAATAGAATTTGGGTGAAAATATTTTGCTGTACTGCATACAATCATTCGAGTACATTAACGCGGCGGCCATTGTTGGCGGATGAGATTCCATATATTTGACCAACACTTTCTCCAATTCTTGAATAGATAGATTATTATTTATATAAAAATCCTTTGATATACGGAAACAAACTTCCCAGAGTTCATTATCAACGGGAAATATACTGATACATTTGTCAATAACATTTGCTGCTCTAATCGATATATTGTTCTCACTTTGTGTGATATTTTGAGGTTTCGTATTAAAATAACTAGATTCATCACAACAACAAGGTAATTCTTGATAAATATTATTTTCCATTATAGGATAATCTTCTTCATTTAATATGGACATCGATATATCCTTGATTCGTTTCGATATTGTGTTTGTTATTAATATTTTCATTTCATCCTTTTTCATTGCGGTTAACTCTTCATTATGTGTGATGTAAAATTGATCATCAGGTATACCTGATTTTAAAGATTTTAGTAACATATCGAGACAATTTGAGTACATTTTGCTGTGATATGAGAATTTAGCGGCCATATTTGGGTTATCTATCAACATTTGCTGATCGATCCAGGGTTGGAGGAGTAGGATGACGTCATCGGGCCAGGATTTCTTCTTGAAGTCGTTGATGTTGAGCAATGGGTTGGGTGCGGGTTCTATGGGTTTCCGTCGCAGTAGGTCGACGTCGAAGGGGAACATGACGTCGAGGCGGTCCAGCGGCTGGAATAGGAACTTGTTGCTGTTCCGACTGGCGGGGATCTTTATCACGCGTTTTGTTGTCTTCATCATTATTACTCGATTGTTCGGCTTCTCATTAATCAACTGTAAATAACAAAACTAATTTACAGTTTTCTAATAAAGACAATATATAAAAATATTTAAACACACTCACTGCCATTTATTTACATTGTAAATAATCCCAGTGGGATGATATATTTTAAATTACTAAAGGTTTTTTGAGTTTTAAGTTAAGTCTCAAATCACATCTCTAAAGCCGAATTCTGAAACAACAAATACTTTGTAAGCCGCTCCCAATATTAGAATTTTAATGAAATTGAAGTTGAAGCGTTGCTTTTTCATATGTAACTAATACTAGCTTTCGCCTGCGACTCCGTCCGCGTGAAATTAAAGAAAAACAAAAGTAAGTAGCCTATGTGTTATCCCAGACTATGCCCTGAACTATGTTAAATTTCATCGAGATCCGTCCATCCGTTTAGGCTACAAACTCTAACAAACATCCATCCATCTAAACTTTCGCATTAATAATATTAGTATGGCTTGGCAGTATATTTAATTTTCAATTATAAATGTACATATACTTACATGTTTGCTCATATTTCCGGTTGCATATATTTTACCATCATCATCTATATAAATGGTAAAATCGCCCCCGCAAGCCACCAGCGCTTTAGTGACATTGTCCTCGCTGTCCGGTGACCGACTGCCCTTTGCCTCAGGCTGAGGATCAGGTCGGGTTTTAACTTCCGTTGGTATCACTACTTGCTTTCTACTGCCACTGCCTGGATATAAAAAAGAGTTATTCAAATTATATTTTAACTTACTAATATTATAAACTAGCTTGTGCCCGCGACTCCGTCCAAGTGGAATTAAAAAAGTAAATAACCTATGTGTTCTTCCAGACTAGAGGATAGGCAAATATTAGATAGAACATAATCTCGAAAAACACAGTATTTCTTTTTTCCGCGCGTTCAAAGTGGGCAAAAGCTAGCGTAAATTGAATTATGAATTTTCACTAATTAAATTTACACATGTTTAGAATTATAGTTTTAAAATTACAGAGATTTTTTACCTAATTGTCCATCGAAGTTCAGTCCCCATGTGTAAAGTGCGCCCGTGTGGTCCAGTATGCACGAGTGATGCCAGCCCGCAGACAACTGGAATACGCATACAAAAATAAATATGTTTTTAACCCTTCCAGTCCTATGATCGAATCCAGTGATGTATACTATTGTAAATGTGTATACACAGTGTTTCACAGTGGGTTTAGATCTTTCAAATACCAATCCAGCGCTGGCTTCATTCATTAGACTAGACTAATATAAACGTATAACACTACTTCATTTGTTATTATAGAATAATCATTTAGTACCATTGTTAAACATTTTAATGACCACTTTGTATTAACTAGGTGTTGCCCGCGACTTTATCAGCGTGAAATTAAAAAATAATTCAAAATACGCCCTTTTAATGAATAAATTACCTTTCTAATGGTGAAAGAATTTTTAAAATCGGCCCAGTAGTTGTTATTGCGTGTGTCAAATACATACAAAAATCCAAAAAAATAACGATTTCCTTTTTAAAATGACCACATTATATTAAAATGAAGTATGGAATATACCTGTACGATACGTCCGCGTACATTCCTGGTGTCGACCAGCTGCGGCAGCAGGTGCGGGTCGGGGGAGGCCGTGGCGGCAGGGGCGGGTGTGGGGGCGGGTGCGGGGGTGACGTCAGTGGCGGGGGCAGTCGCGGGGGAGGGTGCGGGTGTGGGGGAGGACGCGCGGCGTGCCTGGCTCGCACGCACTTGCTGCGGACTCGCTCCCCATCGCCACACCTGCCCTTTGCTCGTCAGCGCCAACTGTAAGCAAAAACTTGCGTTACAGTTACGATATTAGAATCATCTATTGACCTACAGTGTGGAAGTATCCGACGGCGACGGCGTCATTCTATGTCCGACCGTCGGCGCATACGGACGTGTCTGGTACATACCGTGTGGAAGTATCCGACGGCGACGTGTGTGACGGGGTCGGGCAGGGCGACGCGCACGGGCAGCGCGGCCTTGGTGCGCGCGCCGCCGCCCAGCTGGCCGAACACGCCCGCGCCGCACGCCCACACCTCGCCGTTCTTCATCACCGCCACCGTGTGGCTCGCGCCGCACCCCACGCTCTGCACCTGCGCACAACCGACACTATACATCTACTCAACTAACACCAAACAGATTCAAATATATAGAAGACGCATAGTCGACAGTTCCCTTGAAACATATCTTACTTATCACCAGCACTACTACGAAAAAAAGCGGTATACAAATAAGAGTGATTTTAAACGTTAAAAAAGAGCCCGTGCGAACGACGGCACAATGTATCCAATGACAAAAACTATCCAAAGAGTTGTCATCCTAAATTATATGAAACAAAAAGTACTTACTTTTCTACCAAGAAATTTTGTAACCAACTGTGGTGTGTATTGATCGTCAATATTGCCGAGACAAAGCTGCCCGTGGACTCCCCATCTACAAAAATATTTAAAACAATTCAATTATAGGTATTTAAAATAATTCAACTGCTTATTGAATTACAATTAGATGCGTGTAAATTAGCTCTGAACCGATTTAACGCAGCTCACTTAGCCTTGAACCATTGATCTACGACTCAACAACACCAAGAGCAGGCAAGCCATGAACTGAGCGGTGATTCACAAATAACTCAATTTACACCTCACTGAGTACTAATTGAGCTGATATGTGAGCCGGCTCACTGATCTGTTCGACGCATGCTGTGACGTGCTTATAGTACTGACCCCCAGGTGTAGAGCCGGCCGCCGAGGTCGAGCGCTGCGGAGTGGTAGTGTCCGGCGGCGACGGCGGCGAAGGGGGCGGCGGGCGCGCGCTGGGGGGTGCGCACGTGCAGCAGCGCGCCCCCCGCGCCCGCCGCCTCGCCCACCGAGCCCCCTGCGCCCGCCCATGCGCGCCCCACGCCCAGCTGACCGTAGCGGTTGTCGCCCGCCGCGTACAGCTAACCATACAATCATTTTTAAATTACTGAACAGATTACTTTAAAATGTTTGTTTTGAATGAAGAAAAATATTAGTCTCTAAACGTAGGGCAATACGCATAAATTTTATGTTGTCTGTGAGATGTTCAAGATATGCGGATTAATATTGACTAATTGTTGCCCACGACTACGTCCGCGCGGAGTTAAAAAAATATCAAAAATGGCCTGTTACTCAGTGAAAACGTAGCTTACTATAGGTGAAATCTGCTCAGTTAATATTCATCATCATCATCATCTCCTTATCCTACTCCCGTAGGGTCGGCGCAACAGGTTTTTGTCCTCCACATAACTCTATGAAACGTCATCTCAGTCATCACTCCCTTTTTGACTCAGTTAATATTATATTATTTAAATACATAAAAAAAAAATACAAATCTTTTCTCATTATAATAGTATAGAAATATCAAAAAGAATATTTGATTAACATTACAAATATGACATCTGAAGTCAGTATTAATATTCAAAACTTTAGAGTTAAGCTACCACAACCTAACCCTAAAAAAATTACTCCAAACAAAAAATACTTACTCCATTCTCTGTTAGTATCAAAGTATGATGTCTCCCACAAGCCACATCCAGAACTCTGCCTATTATTTCAGTGTTGACCGGAGTGTCAGTCATCATGACCCTTGCGTTGCCCTCATCCGCCAGCGCCCAGTGGTTCAGACCACAGGATAAGGATCTCTTCGGTGTGTACTGACTCTTCCAGGTCTCCGGGCTCTTGGTCAACTCCACATGTATATCGGGACAAGGTGACCTCGCCTCAACAACACATGCCAGTCGTATAAACGTTGTTATTAATTGCAACATTCTTGTCGTCTGAAATTAAATATTTATGATCAAATAATTTGAGATATAGTATGAATAAATTATGAAAAAAATTTCGTCATACTAATATTAAAAATGCGAATGTTTAGATGGATGGATGTTTGTTAGCGTTTGTAGTCTAGATGGCTTAACGGATTTTGACGAAATTTGGTATAGATGTAAAAGATAGTCTGGAACACATAGGCTATTCACTTTTGTTTTTTTAGATAACGCGGACAACGTCGCTGGCAAAAGCTAGTACTTACATAAATCGAAGTGATTCCTTGTTTCAAATCTCTCATCACCGCCCGCAGTTGATCTTGTAATGGATTCATCCAAAGACATAAACACTGCAAATATTAAATATTTGTTTTTAAAATTGCCTAAGTTCAATTATAAACACTTTACAATGACAGAAGGCGATATAAAAAAAAACTGTCATTTTTGTAATTGATAGATTTACACAAATGTACGAAACAGCAACTCTAACACACCTTTAAAAGTTTAGTATCGAAAGTATGACATTTGTCTGTTATAAAGTCGAATAGCCACTGTCCGTTCTCCTCCAGCAGTATGGGCAGCAGGCAGGCGTGGCGCAGCAGGCAGGCCAGCGCGCCGCGGCACAGCGCCCCCTGCGCCCCCTGCGCCCCCTGCACCCGCCGCGCCCCCCGCACCCCCCGCACCGCCGCCAGCAGCAAGTGCGGCTGGCCGGCGCGCACGCTGAACAGCGGCGCCAGCGCCCACAGCCCCACGCCCGCCGCCAGTGACGTCACCTCCAGTAACTCCTTCTCACTCAATGTAGCGAACTGCACGTCTCTAGAAATACATGAACAATAGGGGAATCAGTTGGTGTCCCGTCTTAAACAGTTGTTTGAACGTTTTGTACGCATTAAGAATATGATGCGAACAATTACATAAATTTTTCAACTATCCTGTATATACATTTCATTTTAATATGATAAAATATGAATAACTAGTTTTCGCCAGCGTCTCCGTCATCGTGGAATTAAAAACAAAAGCGAGAAGCCTGTATTATCCCAGGCTACTCTCTACATCTATGCTAAAATTCATCGAGATCTGTTAAGCCGTTTAGGTTACAAACTAAACATCCATCCATCCATCTATCTATACTTTTACATTTATAACATTAAGGGTGAGTTGCATCAAATCGCCGGTTATCGTAAAAGTTATAATAGGGTTACAAGTGCAAAAACATATTCTCACAGAGGTTT